TTATTTATTTGTTTATATATATATAAATATATAACATATATAAATATACAGCCTAAAGACGATGTCTCGAAGCCTTCACTCAAATCTTTGAGCCGGAAACCTTGAATCCCCAGAGTTCAGATAGGCTGCTGCAGTCTCAGAACCCAACGCATCCAGAAAATCCCCAAAGCCGCACCATGCCCGCAAACAAAAACCCGACGAGGCCGAACCGAAGGTTCGGCAAGGCCCGCGAGGCCCAGGCCCAAGGAACGGAAGAGATCCCCAAGCCAAGACAAGAGACCGCCGAACCTGGGGGGGCGGGGGGGGGGGGGCTGGACTGAAGGTNNAGGGTTTACGGTTTACGGTTTAGGCAGAATGTCGGATTGGTGATGAAGATGAAGACGATACTGGTAGGAATACTAATACTAAATACTGGTCAGTGCAAAGGCATTTACAGACACGCATGATCTTCCGGCCACTCTTGCTTTCCACATTGCTGTTCTCACTTATCGTCATGATTTCTAAGGCTGCTTGTCTACAGCTGGCTTGGGGCCTGAGTCGTTCAGACATGTTGGGATCTGGGGGGATTTCGGGCTGCACAGCCGGCCGGGTGATGCTCAAGAATAAACTAAACCCTAAACCCTAAACCGGTCTATTCCACGAAGCCAGGGAGGATGGAGTGGATTCCCGGCTCTCTAGGATCAATTTCTGATATGCTCTCGGTGAACAATCACAAGCAGTCCTCTACTGGTCTACTGGGGGGAGGGGTTCTGGAAAAACAGGGTTTAAGCTTGGGGTCTTGGGCAGGCTTACGGGTCAGCTTAGCATGTTAGTCATAGGGTGTTGAGGCCCATGCAAGCTTCAGGCTGCTGATTTTTTGCGCAAATGAGCACAGAAACTAGGAAAGCTCACGTCAACCTCTGGTGAACGTTGAACTGAACAGCTAAACCTAAACAGCCACGACTCACACCACACCCCGAATGTGCTCACACGCCCTGGAAGTTCCCGTGAGTAAAACCTGCAGGAGAATCCGCACGACGCGTGAAACTTCAACGCAGCGTCAGAAGCAGCCACGGAACAGTAAGGTCGATTTCCGGGCGAGCGAACACCAAACCCTGCAGATGGCAAATCCGAAAAACTCTAAACCCCAGCTGAGGAAAATACATCCCCAAGACCCAGCAATCATCCAAGCTGAGGTCACCGCATTCTGTGCTTTGGCTTTCCAGCAGGGCTTTGCGGTGTGGCTTCACAACGGCTGCGGTCATGGTCGTCGGGCCGCGGGTTTTTGGGTAGGGCTTGGGCTCAGGGTCTATAGGGCTTACGGTTTAGGGTTTAGGGATTCACACTGCCCCTGACAGCGGTGTCCTTCCGATGACTTTATGGGTTTAAGGCGGCTCGATGCAAAGCCTTCAAGTTGCAGTGGGCCCTAGGTCCCTGATGAGTCCAAGGATTTCGGAAGTGCTTATGCGAATTCACAGCTCAGGAGATCCTACGTCCTGCCCTCTTGAGAACTACAGGGCCTAACTATGGCCACCACGTAGAGGCTTAGAGGACTTAGGAAGCAGCGCTACAAGCAAGGTAACCATAGCTACATGTGCTTAGAGCTTCACTTGAAGTACGTATAACCCTACTTACCAAGTCAGTCGACGGCGCTCCCGCTATGCTCCAAACGCCGACCGCAATCTTTACACTCCGCAGTTCATTCCGCAAGCCTGCGTCAAAGCTCTGGCAAGCACCTTCTCCCTAAACCCTGAACCCTAAGCCCTGAACCTTAAACCCTGAGCTCGGAAGCTGGGGGTGCTACGAGGGAGACCAGGTTCTCCACCACGAGAATCGAGAGGTTGTTGACACCTGCAGCGGCAGGTTCTGTGTCGTCCTGCGAGTCGCGAGTACGAGTTGAGCTTTCGCGAAATCCTGCAGTTTTCATGCGCGCTGCAGTGACGTAGTGATGGATTTTTCAGGCTCATTTCGAGAAAGGACTGGCCACCGATTCGGCTATGTGTGCAGGTTGAGTTTGGAACAGAATCATCGGCGCCAGGGCAGGCAAGACAACGCTCAACCCCATCCTGCGTTTTTTTCACATCCCCTCGACACGGTTACGTTCAGATGATTCATGTCCCGCGACTAGGCTACAACCGCGGACTGTGACGATGAGGAAAGAGTGATGCGACACTGATCATGTTGTTTGTCGTGATGGTCATGGTTGAAGTAGGTCCACTTTGTACGACAGTCGTCATGTTGACTTGGTGGATGGTCTGGTTGGCGGGCTTAGCATGAGGTTTATGTTTTAATAGTGTGGCATTCCCCCTAAACCCTAAACCAGGCAGTTGCGGACTACATTAAGCTATCGATATCGACAGAATCCTGCAAGGAACGAACGGAAGGTCAAGAGAGTCTATGAATGGCCCGATGCTGGAGACACGGAAGCTCTCTGAGTTTGGGTTTCCATATCTATCTACGCCTCTCTATCTTATCTGTCTTATCTATCTGATATGCCTTATCTATCTATCTAACTAACTATCTGTCTATCTATCCATCTATCTAGCTGTATATGTTTCTTCAGACATACGCATCTCTTATGTATGGCCTACTCATTTTGCATGCTGTGGAGGAAGGACCCCCTCCATACAGCTGTCCTTGCCAAACTCATGGAGACCTTAGTGCATGCTGATTTTACAATCGCACTAACATACCGAACATACGGAAACCTGTTACCCGCACATAAGACTTTCCTGAAACCCGAATCAATGTAACTTCAATCAAAGCAAGCTTTAAGTCTCAAGTCTTGGGCAAAACCAGGAGCCTGCCAACCATCCGTGGCGGAATATCTCTAGAGGGTCCTTAACTGTGCTATTTTGGTGGTTCCTTATTACAACTACAGTAGAACATACCCCAAAGCCCTTGTCCAATTATGAAGGCCTCTATAGTGGAACAGGCCGCCTAGAATAACCCTAAACCCTAAACTCTAACCCCTAAACCCGAAACCCTAAACCCTAAACTTGAACCAGGAGGCCTGGGACGAAAGCTTCCCGGGCCAGCAGATATTTCACCCCCTGTGAGCGGGAGGAGCAGTTTAGGGTTTAGGGTTTTCAGGGTTCAAGTGATAGGGTTTAGGGCTTAGGGTTTGGGGTTTGGGGTTTAGGGTTTCTGTTTGGGGTGTAGGGTTCAGGGTTTCTGAGG